CCGACAGTCTCTCACAGGCCTAATAATATGTAGGAAGGGAGGTGCAAAAAAGCTCTTCAACTGGAACTATAGAGAAACTCGGAATACAATTGTCCAAACTGACTGGGGTCACCACCCTTACAAGTACCGTGGAATCAATGAACAGGAGAGGTTAGGACCTTGATTATTTTTCCTGTCCCAGAAAAGGCAGTGTTTCCTACAAGCGTGCTTGAGTATTGGGTCAGTAATGACTCAGAGGGGGATAAAGGGTAACTGTTGAATAACTGGTGTCTAAGATTTCCTTGGAATTCTCCCTTCCTAGTACTGACCAAGCCCAAACCTGCTTAACTAAAATACATAACAATCTCTCTGATATGGTATGGCTTCAGGCCAACAGCACAATAGTCTTTTTCTGCATGTAATGGAGATGAGGGCTTTTTTTTTTTTTTTCTTCTCTAAATTAGTTGCTTAAAAAACCCCCACGAACCTTAAAGCACCTATTAGGCTCTGTAATATAAAATGAAATACAGTAAGCATCATTAAGTCTGTCTCTGCTGTGGGGACGGTATTCCTTGTCAGGGGATGTAAGGCATTCTCTCATGGAGAAATGTTCTTTATTGCACTGTCTGACCAGGCACTCTCAGCTGGGAAGATGGAGTTTGTAAGGTGGGATTTCCAAAGCTGGGAGCCTCATGGACTCCTCCTTTTGGAAATAGAAACACGCAGGATTTGAATGACATCTGTAGAGACAAGAGACCTGGTTGAAGGCTCCTGCTAACTATCTTCTAATGCATCTTTGCAACATGTCCACGCTGGTGGTGTGTGTGTTGGCGACAGCAAGTCATGATGCTAGAACAGCTCACTGAAAATGTGGCAGCATCGTGTCCTGTCACACTCAAGTGGCTCGTGGCTTTTTGTGAGGCCGCTCACTGATGGTTCTCCAGCTGTTCAAAGCTGGGGGTGAAATGAGGGATTACTCCTGGCCTGATCTCAGTGGTATAAAAACAGAAACGTAAGTTCAAGAAGAGAACTGAAGTGTGTTCTTTTCTAGCTTGATTGTGTGTAATGTAACTTATTTAAAGAATGGCAGTGGTGGTCTGTGTTTTGAAACTCTTTCCTTGCTGCTGTTCCCCACTCCCTGTTGCAGGCAAAAATTACTATATTGGGTCGATGGTTTGTGGCAGGTTCTTCAAAGAAAGGGTCCAGTAAATCCATGAAGAAATATCATGGTAATTGGGTCTCTTATTCTCAGCAAACATGGCATTGCTATCAGGTAGCTGGGGTATCCAGAATCTAGGGAATCAATTGAACACACTGTTGCTGATAATATTTACAATTTTACAGCAATTTGGAAGCCTACCTGTGCCTCAATCACGATAATAAATTCTAAATACCTATATATTTTTGGTATATGATTTGGGGTTTTTTATCATGGAAAATCAGAGCTTCCCCCTGCCCCCTTAGCTCATCAGGATGCAGGTCCAGGCCCCTCACTCACCACCCAGAGCCTCCCCACCACCCCAACCCTGCTGGAGGGGGGCCTTCAGCTGGCAAGGCTATAGGGCCAGGGACACAGGTTTGCAGTGTCCTGCTACCCACGGCAGTGCCTGAGCCGTGG